GACTAGTGGCGGCGGCGGGCCCGGCGGCCGGGTGCTCGCCTGTGGCTGCTGTCCTTGCTTGTGGCCGGCCTTCCCGGCGCGGTTCCCTCTTCCTTCCTTCCCAAACCGGCCCCTCCCGTAACTTGCTTGGAAAACCCGGTGCTTCCATCTCGGCCGCCGCCTTACTCCTACGAGGGGTCGGGCTGCGCCAGCGAGCTCTGCTTCCAGCTCGCATCTCCCCGGCCTCCGCTCTCCTTCCCTGCGAATGCCTTTTCGGGGCGCGGCCCTGTTTTTGGCTGCAGAGCCCCTGGGAAGCGGTGCAGACGAGAAGGGTAGGGAGTCCGAGGCGTGTGAGTCTCCCTCCGACTTTCCTCTCCTTCCACGTCTGGAGGAAGGTCGCTTGGAGTTCCCCTCTCGTGTTACGCCGAGCCTCCCCGGGGCCGCCCGGTCACTTGGAGCCAGAAGCGGCAGCGACAGCCGTCAGTCAGCACCTCTGACTGGGTTTCATGCCAAGGAGAGGGCCTCCTGGTTGCCAAAGGAGTCCTTTGGAGGTTAAATAGGGTCCGTCGATTCGCTGGCTTGAAATGCCGTAGTAAAAGCTCTTTGCGTTGCCTGCGTGTTTACTTTATTTAAAACAAAACAAAGCCTTAAAAATCCAGTCTATTAGAAACTTCCTAATACAGACTGACTTTAGTGGTACTTGTGCTGATGGTATGCATTAAAAAAATAAAAGACGAATGCGAAATTTTGCTTGTATCTAAGTTTGTTTTGTAGTCTTTTTACCTTGAATCTTTCAGTGCTAATCTACATACATGGATTAGCTGAATTCAGTAGGTTTGCTTTTTTTGTGTGTGTGTATAAAGTTAAGGTCTTGTTCTTGAAATATGAAAAATGCAGCACATGTTTTTTGCTTTCATGGCTGATAATTTTCTTGTTGTGACATACAGTTACTTTACAAGGTAACCTTTGAAAATCTATGTCTTCTTAAAAGTCCATGGGGTAGCTGTCCTTTTTTAAAGGGCAGTGCTCTTGTAGTACCACTTCTGATGTTTTATAATCAAAACAGTTTTCTCCCTTTTTTTCTTTATGCAAAATATTTGTCAGAAATTCTTAGGGTTCTGTGCATCACTTTTGCAGATGAAATTAAGACTCATTCCACACTGGAATTTCCAGGACTGAATATTAGGCTTGTTTTATTTTACTTAGCGTTTGAAATGTTAAAGTTATCTCACACTTTTAGCAACCCTGTGATTCAGGGTAGATGTTTGAAATGGATCATGGCTGTTTTTTTCGCGTTCATGATAGTCTTGTGAAGTCTGAATAGTCTGGTCTGTAGCAAATTAAATTCGCTGTGTACAACCACTGAAGGTGGTGTAACTTAGTTTCTGCTGCTCCTCTTCTCCAGGGCTTAGTTCTTAGTCTGGCAGAAGGAAGCAATCTACCAAAACTGTTGGATGAATCTATTTTGTGTGCTTTGCTCTGTTTTCTTATGCTTCCAAACTTCCTCAGGGTTCTTCTCCCTACAGATACATTCCTTAAAGTACTTAAATGCTAACTAAATACTCAAGAGTGTTTTAACCCTGCAAGTCCTTGCCACTGCTAGCAACTTCCCCAGCTCTTTTCCACTGCACTGATAGAATGTCCCCAAACCAGACCTGGCATGAACGACTAATATGAAAGGGTAATCTACAAGAAGTGTAGGATTAAGCGTTCAGGTGTTTGCGTTGGTACACTAAACTGTAGTTGTTTAATGTGTAGACTTTTTTGACCTAAACAAAGAGGGCAGTTTTTCACAACACAATTGTTCTTTTCTTTTTTTTTTTTTCTTTAGGTACTTGGTGGAAGTCCAGGAATACTGAATAATCATGGGTTTCAGGTGCAACAGCAGCAACAGAGAAGGCTGTCACTACATGAATACCTGAGCATGGGACTGTTGCAGGAGGCTGGCATTTCTGTTCCACATGGACTAGTTGCCAGCACACCAGATGAAGCTTACAAAATAGCAAAAGAAATAGGTATAATATTAAAGAGAACATATACAATATGGGCATGGGCTTGATACAAGGTGTAACTACTTTTTCTGTCTTTCCTGGTAAGACATTTCTTAGAGTTCTGAATATACCTTCTCTTTAAGAGAGCCTTTCCTGTGAAGCAACTTTCCTGCAGATTTGAGTGATTACTTTGGAGCTGACATTTTTCTAAAATGAAGTTTTCTAATGCTTCAGATTGCTCAGTGCACAAGTGCGTAGTGAAATCAGTCAAGTGACCTAGTTTTAAAACACTCTTGGTTGTGTATTGAGACTGATTTATGAAGCTAAATTGTGTTGCTGAAAATTCCAGTGGGGAAGGACTTGATCCTACTTCCACTGAAGGCTGTGAACATATGTTTCAGGCACTGTTATAGCCCAAATGCTGCAGATACTTTTCCTGTAACTTGTGAGTCTTGTTTAGAAGGAATGGGGCAGATATAAACTGTATGAGCTTAGACTAATACAACTACTTGATCTTCTTTGAGTTGAGTAATACGCTCTGCTTTGTGCAAATCCTGGATTACAATTTGCTCACAAGCAAGGTTAGAGGAAGTCTTGCGTAAAGAGTTTCAGTGGTGGTGACAGGTAAGGCTTTAGTAGTCCAAGATCTTCTGTAGAGCAGAAGGTGGGAAGGATACTTACCTTTAGACTGCAGAAGAAGAGTAAAATCCTATTCCTTTGTGAACGTGTTGTTCTGGCAGAATGCAACTACGCGCAAGAGTGGAGTACTTTGATGGCTTGTAGGTATACAGTAAATTCCTGGCTTGCTGATGAAAAAGCATCCAATCTCCTTTTTCTGTTGCTTAAATACTTACTTAGAGTTGATCTTTAATTTGCGTCTCGATGCTGCCTGTTGATTTACCGCTTTACCTGTATGTGTCCCAGTAAAATTTTGGTTTTATTAGAATATAGAAGAAAATATAGGAGTCAGCTTCTGTCATTTGTGGCATTAATATTTTTTTGTTTGTTTGTTTAGAGCTTCCCCCCTCCCTGTAAGCCAGTCACAGAGTTTTGATAGAGGACATTGCTTGTCATATTACACTCTCATATGCAAATACCTAAATCTCTTTTCACCTCCAAATGGATATATTTGTAGTGATTTCTGGCGTTATGGGTTTTGTTAGATTCATTTCAGTTTTATATGTAGATTTAATGCAAGACGTGAGATCTGAAAAAGAAGATAATTTTTTTTTCTAGAGCAAGCTATTCTGCTGTATAATGTAGAAAGGAGCTGGAAAGCTGCTTTTCCTTCAGATCTGATGTCCTAGAAATTCACGTGTTGTCTGCCTGCCTTCTTTGTCATGTTCCCATTAGAGACTAAAAGAAAATTACAACTTCATTAGTGTGAAAGAAAGGTGTTAAAATACTTCTGTTCTGAGAATGGATTAAAATTCAGACCCTCGCCTTCTGTTAAGGGTGATCTTGTAGCATGATCTAAACTTCACAAATCTGGCATATCCCTGTGCTTACATTAATATCTGCACAGATCTCCTGCTAGTGGCAAATGAGATGATCTTTGCCTGTGGCTCTTTAGGAGGCAGCAGGGAAACTTGCAGATCAGGATTCCTTTGTTTTGTTCCTTGTTCAGAGAGGAGACCTATGGCAGAGTAGGTATGTGTGGCTGCTGGCTTATAGCTCTGTCTCATCCATGTGACGCCAGAGGTGTGCCTCTTACCTGGAGTGTATGACCCTGTGCAGTTTCTTGGAGATCAGAAAAATGAAGGTGTGCAGTGTATGACTTAGCATCCTTTAGTATGAGTTAGCATCCTTTAGTAGGCTACAATAAAGGAATTCAGGGCTTCTGGTTGTCAGCCGTATACTTCAGGTTGGTGGGTATTTGATGCTATGGCTTTCTTTGGTACTTGAGATGAGGAAGGGAAGACTTCCCAAAAGGAAAGCACACTGAAGGAGCTTTGGTGTTTGAGGCATTGCTCAAACATAGTTCAGAACTTGTTCTGAACAGTGACAGATTATTCTTTGCTCCAGTGTTTTGAATTTCTTTGTTATTATAGCCATTTCCCCACTCGTTTTCATTTAGTTTGTACTTAAAAAACCCAAACCAAATCTCTAGCAGAATGAAAAAAAAAATCTTGCTTTTTTTTGTCCACCTGCTCATTGTTTGGTTTTGTTGTGCAAGATTTGTTGCTGGTAGATAATGAGGTTATCTTTTGCTTCTTTTTATGTGTTAGACTGTTTTTTCAACTGTTTGTCTAAAGCATTACAAAGATAGTTGGTAATACTGCTTGCTCTGTCTCCCTGATGCTGATCCACATGCTGCTGATAACCTTTAGTCAGAAACCTGCTCTCTGTAAATGTGAGTCTGGCATTGGATTTCTTTCCTTTTGCGGATACTTCAGTTAGACATGGATAACTTTTTGTCCTAGGGTATAGCAAATACAACCTTCTCATCAACAGAGATGATCATAGTTTAGCTAAATCAGTGTAACCCTGTTGTATGAACGAAGCCGAAGCTTAACCGTACTGAGGATTATTATCACTGCGAGGTAACTAGTGTGTGGTAGAATCGAGCTGAGGCATGTGAATGTTGCAGTTTGTCTTAGAGCCTAATTAGAAGAGTGCAGTAAATATTCTTTAAGTAACAGAACCAGTGAAATTTGTTAGAATTTCAGTCAGTTATGCTCGTCTTGAGGTCTGAAGTTAGATGAAATAGTCTGGAAGCCAGAAAGGTTGCTTCTTCTCCACCTCCCCAGTCTTTCTTATACTAAATATTTTTTCTGCTAAAGATCAAAGTGTCCTAAATAAAGAAAATTGTTTACCTATATGTGAAGTAATTTTGAAATGTATGTGAGGTAAAATACAGTTTTTGAGCTTGCATTGTTTTCTTCCCTATGAGATTTTTCTCATATTTTTAAAGGAAACTGAGATGAAATTAGATGCTGTGAACAACCTTGGGGCATTGATGGCAGATCAGCCATGGTTTGAATCTTAAGGAAAAAAAAAACTTAATTTTTTTTTCTTTTTTTTAAAAATTTGATTTCTGCTGCAGCTGTCAGATTTCTTAAAGTGCTGTTTTCAACTTGGATTTCTGTTCCAGCTGGATTCTGCGAATTATTATTGTTTTGCTACTGTTTTAAAAAATGTTTTCTGTTGTGTCGTGAGAAGATTTGCCATTGTATTTATTACATCAGTGTTATGCCTATAGCGTTTTCTTTTCATATTTTTCTGGCAGTTCTGAGTTGTCATT